GAGATAAAACTACGCACATTTAAAGACAAAAGTGGGCATTTTAAAATAATTGAATTATAATTATTTTTATGTCCAAACACCATACAATACTTCCTCAGAGACTGTTGATAAGTCTTTTATTTAATCATATTTAATAAACAAAATTTACAAACACAACTTTGTACACAACAAAGAAATCTTTGTTGGAATACAATAAGTCGGACCTTATCTCACCTTGATAATAAACAAAGTTGCCTTGTTTCGTATTACTACCGACAAAGTCTCTCAATGGACTCATTTAGTTAGTTGACAAAGTTATTAATCATTGAGTAATCCGATGTGGTGTTATTTTATATTAACTAGTTGCTTTCTACGGTTTCGTCGATGTAGAATGATAAATTTCAGTTAAATTTACCAACTATCAAACACGTTATTAATGAATATGGATTAAGATGGCGTAAATTCCTCTATTTACTAGTAAACTTTTTGCAATTTGAGGAGAGAAAAAAACACTAAATCCTCTACAGCATATAAAATAGTCTATTTCGTAAACAATTTATCATTTTATATCTATATGTAAGAATGATGACACTGTAACAACAACCTTGAGCGACTCAAGACGTGTAAGTGAAAATGACATTGACAAGCAAAACTGGAACTCGGAACACAATATGAGAAAAAAAAGGTTAAATATGTAAGAGGTACATTCAACGCAATGGCGTTCCGAGAGCTCTCACAATGAGAACAGCACTAATTTGCTGCTAACAAGAATACTGCACCCCCGTTTCTACGAGCATTTTTTTTTATTGGTTCAAGTTTGAATTAAGATTGAATTTATACTGACGTATGACCAAAGAGTTTTTAATATAAGAATAAAGTAAAATTTACAAATAATTATTATAATAATATTCCTTAAAATGTTACATAATTATTTTAATAAATATATTAAAAAACTTCTCATATAGCTAATGTTTACGTGAGAGCGTCCAGTCGCTATCCTTTGAGCAAAAGGGTATCATGTATTGATTCATAACAAGCGCATCACTAATACGTTACATTAGTTATCGATAAAATCATCAGTAATAACCGCTCTCATAGCCCCAGAGGTTTTTATTGTTCGATACATCAATATTAAAATCATTAGTCGAGCCTTCGTGATCGCGCACCGCTTATGTATGCAAATTTTAAATTTATAACTTGATGTGATAACAAAAAATTGACTATAAATCATTGGTTGTAGGTTGCAGGCTTCTGTCCGGTTGTTTACGACCGGCCTTGAAATCGACGAAGGTTACGCTACTCTCATATTTATGATGTGCAACCTGCATCTCTTCGCATTATTATTTACATCCAATTATGATTAATCAACAAAAAAAACTATGTAGATACAATTTATATTTACAAATGTTGGTGCTGAAATGTATATCGTAAACTTATTTAAAAGTAATTGGTTCAAATAAGCCTTAGTGTAAAATATTTTGAATATAAATTCCTATTGAAGTATGAAGTACTTGTAACAATGATGCGTTTATAACACATGATAATATCTATTGTATATTTGATTTGATTGTTGTAGATAGTTTACTTTCATATTTATAGTATCTATCTATTGTAGACAACTGTTTGTACTTGAACCCTGTATCTATATACATATGTGGCAGCACGTGGTAGATGTTATAAATCTATAGCTGTCACAGATATGAATACACGCGGCAAACTTATAGTGGATATCGAAACGACCTATTGATATCTAGCTTTCATTGGAAATTGCAACTTATTGTAATCGGAAATACATTTATTAATCGAATGGCAAGAGGAAATATAAGTCCGCGACATTGTATGTTTCCTATGCATTACAGAAATGCACTTCCTCGTTTTCTTGATTACAAGAACTCTGCATACGTAAATAGATCGGAAATTCATACAAAATTATTGTTAAGTCATTTTAGTAGTCTTTATAGCTTGTGTTTTGCGTACCGATATAGTTCGAGACGGAATACAATTGTATTTATATATGTATGTGTACTTATACGTTCAATTAACGTACGAAGACGCCAAGTATTTACGACACGAAACAAATAAAGCAATAAATACTGAGAACTCAACCGTCTTGATCCAATTACTATGTATATGTTCTTATATGTTGTGTAATTAGTTATCGATCGATTTCTTATATTTAAACACTTAAATACGCATTCCCGTAAAGAAGATTGAATAGATTTTTTTATTAGGGATATATGAACTAGCTTGTGCAACTAATATTATTGTACAGTTTAAATTATTTCTATAGAAATACGTCTAATTGATCTATTACTAACATTTCAATCATAAATCGCAAGACGAACGCGAGCCTTTGAATTCATTCTATGCATATTACAAAAGTATCATATAGTAAAATATATTGACTGAAAACTACCATCACTTCAGTATTTATTTATCAGCAATATTAGTAAGAAATTTTGGAGGTCAAAAGTTTAACCCAGATTTTGAGGTGTCTTCTCTCAAACAATGATTATTATTTTGATTTAGTGCAATCATATCACCAATCCAAGTTTAAAAAAGGTCCGATCATAAATTGACACCTGTATCGGGAGGCTGCAAATATTATTTATGCCCCGATCGAAGCCTAATTACAGTGGGATGCGTATAACATCATTCCATTCCTCTCATGAGAGATATTAAACTCAATTATACACTTAAAACACGAGTTCAGGCTGATTTATGGGTAGAAAAATCAAATATTCCGTACAATACTACAAGCTAATCGTTTCTTTGAAGTCATTTTCTTTGAAATTTTGATGTATAATGACGTCTTATTTTATTGATATCTAATATTTGTGAGTTGTGACTGCATATTGCATTTTAGTTCATTCATGGGATCATTTATTCAATTCAATATCATTTTTTTTACTTTAAAAATAAAAAGAAAATTACTTCTAAACTTCTGGTAGACTGCGAGATTTTTTTTTTGTCTTTCCTTATTACTCAATTGAATAGATACACTTATTATGAATCTATTTAAAATCCCGTCAGATTTGATGTGTTGTTTGATAATATTTAAGTCTATTTGGATCTGATTACAGTTTTCCTATATATCTATGTGCAGAACATACTATGTGTAAATTTTATTTAAATAATAATTTAAATAGCTATACATATTATCCAAAACACTGGGAAGTTTCATGTATAGAATGAGGACAGTTTAAAAAGATTACAAATTCAGACTTGCTCTTCAAAATCTTTCCTAACTCTGACAGTTTGGAGTGTAAATTATATTCGTAAAGTAAAATGTTAGAATACTTACATATATTGTGTGTAATCACATTATTATAAACCATAAGATTAGTTACTTCAACGACAGAGGTCAGAAATAGATTCTTGACTTTTAAACTTTACTTTCAAAGTGAAATTCCTGCATTTGTTATTTATAATTACGACTGTTTATTGATATAAAATACAAATACGTTTTTTTTTTGTAAAAGCCGTTTTTATGTCACTATTATTACTATTATCTGTTTTATTGGTAAAAATAAACCAACGGTTTCACGTTGTCAGATACACAAAGCTTATAATAATTGGCAGAAGAATCAGGAACCTCTTAAACTGTTGTTCAGGTAAATTTTATATGCTGTTGAAGATATATATTTTGTCTGAAGTTCTTAGTTTGCGTTGTTACTGTAGGTATGTTCTAGTGGAACAAAAATTGTTGAAGTCAAAGCTTCATACAAAAACAGTCAAATTTTAAATTCAATTATAATATTTAAAAATTGCGTTATATTTTTACGCGTTGTTTCACATCCGGCTATAATTGCACGTTTCACGATAAAAATATGTACTAATTAATTTTCTTTAGCAACAGAAATTTTTCGTTGCAAACATTGGAATTATTAATTAGTGTTATATTAGGATATTTTGAATCATTATACCAATGATCAAAGAATTCGTTCATACAAAAAACATCGTAAGTTACGGGCCTCTAAAAGATATATTTCGAAGAGGGAATTCTATACCAGATAAGAAAAAGATATGCCTATATATATTTAATGACGCCAAAACAATTCTGCGAATGGGCTTTTCGACTTAACGAACAAAATTTATGGATATCAGTACAATATATTTTACAAAAAAAAATATGACGTCTGTTTAAAATACCTTATTTAATGAGATTTTATTAAAATATTCTAAGAAGACTTTATTGCTTTTTTGTATAATGCAATGAAAGTATTATTTTAGGCTATGATTTAAACTGCAATAATAAGTCTAGTTTTTATACAGACGTCATTTTTAATTAATCGAAAGATGTGATTGAATATGACGTAATTCTAAGAGGTAATGTGAAAATATAAGAGAATTGGCTACAATTTGCTGACAATCAGTACACACTTACATATTGATTGGGTTGCGACCATATAACTTATTTCTTTCTTGATTTATGAATGAAAATAAATGTTTGACCTTTTTATTTTAACATTTCTACTGACAATCATGACTTATAGTTTGCGTTATAACTATCATGTCGACGTTTAATTTATTATTGTTAAAACAAACTTGTAATACCAACCACGATCTCAAATATCTTCAACAGTTGGCTATGAGGAATCAATGCTATGCGATTAGTTGTTTAATCTCAGTACCTATTTTATAGTACTAAAAGTCTTCGTATGATGGTATCAACATAGATATGAATCAGTAACTAGAAGAATAGAATCTAATAGAACTTCACAGCGATATTTGGCTGGTAAAGTATACAATACTTATAATTATCATTCAAACAGTATGCGATTTGTATGTTACCTAAATTTTTTTGCGAGTATTCATTTAAATGAAACTTATATTTTCGGATTGTTACATTTTTTTTATTATTTTTAAAAAACCGTGATCATCTCATCTTATCTGCCCGTGATCACGGTTGCTGCAAAGTAACCGACGTCGGGAGTATGTTATTAAAAAAAATAACGCTTCGTAATACGAAAATATTATTTTCATTTTACATGTCTGCAAAGGATATAGTGATGATTACCATGGTTTCAAAACTCATCAGCACAGTACAAGCTAAATATTATATTGCAGCACACTGGGTGGTTCATCAGTGGCAGTTGTACGAGCGGTCACTATGCTCACTGCTGGAGCTCCAAGCTCGTAAGCGGACTTACGGCGTGTGCTGCTCGCCGCGGTACGTGATAGCGCCGGAGTACGCGCCCCACTTGCTGCCACTGCCGCTCCCAAGACACACGCCTCCGCCCGCGCACTTGTAGCGACGCGAAACCGCGCCCCGACAGGTAATCATTCAAATCGAGTTCAAATGGTAGGGGATCGATACATGAAATATGACTATCAAAAATAGTCTCCTATACTATAATACATGAAATGTTCTATTACACTGAACAATTATTTTATAAATATTAGTTGCAAAACGTCTTTAGGTTTTATATTTACGACTATAAGACGAAAAATAAAACGATTATAAAATTTCAATATATTACAAAGCTTATTTTAAATTTGTTGTTTCAATATTATCATTAGGGAGAAAAATTAATCGGATGCCGTATAGAAAAATATATATTTTATTACCAATTTTTTCCACATTTCTTGCCTATATTAACTTGTTTAGTTCTTATCTTGATCCAAGTAAACGTATACCAAATAACAGTATATTTTCCAAAACAAAAGGGGATATTTTTAAAATAAAATAGCCATATTTTTGGTTAATCGAGGTCAGTCAACTGTGAAACGCCAGCTTCCCTTTTGTAATTTACCGACTAATATCGTGTTTCTTTCAACGCATTTACAACTCGTTTGGTACTGTACCCCATGACGATGAAACATTTTGGCAGTTTTTGAGGATTTATATTTTCTGTCAATAAAAAAGCATTTTCTTTTAATTCAATAAAATATTTATATTAAATTTAATACCTTAAAGATTTCATTTCATTACTTTCCCTAAAATCATCTATTGTAAAATAAGACAAACATTTCAAAGAAAATAAACGTGATAAATATAAAAAGAAGAAATCTTCGTTTCTTTTTCAAGGACGTAAATAAAATGCATCCAATACTCTTACAATTCTGTTCCGTATTGAAAATCAAATTAATCAGTCCGAGTTAAATTGCAGCAATTCTGGTAACAAATACTTAAATGATTAAAGTTTTAAAGGTATCTCTAAAGAAGAGATGAACTTAATTTACTGAGGGCAAAAGTCAATTGAACCGTTAAAAATATTAGTCGAATTTAATTTCAAATAAAAATGAGGTAGGTATATGCCATTTTTAGGCTGTAACTAAGAAGTTGTGGCTTGAATTTCTTCTCCTACTTATGCTATAGATTTCTATGATTTGGAAGTTTGTCACTGTTTTTCTAATCCGAGGAGTTTTTTATCTTAATATATGACATGTCCAGATGAAAAACTGTCAACTAAGACCCGTTCAGAAAACCCTAACGTATGTGTATTCAAAAATATGAAGTATATAAGTTTCGTATAGTTCAGTTTAAGGAATGTAGTTTTAATTTGATATTTGAAGTGGTCAAGTCAGCTACCTCATCTGTTTATAAAGTCAAGAGTGTGTCACACTGAGCGTTACTCGTATGTTGATGAGGTGACAGTTAGATGACATTATAATTAACTAACATTTTGCCATGACTTTGTTTTCACAAATTACTATCAAATTTTCAAATAAATCTTTCATGACATGATAAAACTTCATTTCCATTGTCGTAACGTGATGATGTATTGGTCCAGATATAGATTTTAATCTTCCTTTATAAATAGGTGGTAGGTTCAGAAGTGGTAGAGCCTAGCTGTGGTCAGTTACTACATATCGAACATGAGCTGACTCGACTTGGGAAGTACCACCTTCCCACACAAGATCAGCGTGAAGTAGCCTATAGTAGCTGCTTTTTATCCGATGAGTGAGAGAGCCGGTTACCTGTTCCCTATTCCCACCTTTTCCTGCTATTTCCCTATTCCCATCCCTCCCTTTACCTCATAGTTGGTAACGCATCTATGTATGTTGCGGATGTCCATGGGCGATGATCACTAATGCCCATCAAGTAGGTCGTCTTCTCGTTTGCCACCTTTGACATAAAAAATAAATGATTTTTTTCCTGTCAGTTCTTAAGATTAACGCGAACAAACAAACAAACACTTTAATTTTATTAATAAATTATATCTAATATTTAAGCAGCATTGAATCCACTGTACAGTAATATTAGCATGTGTATGTCTAAGTGTAGTGTAGAAGCGGGCTCTGGGCATGTTAACGATGCCATCAATCCCGGTGCACTATCATAGCTAGTAAAATCTTTTGGTGATAACAATAAAACTTATAGCATATAAAGGCCACTCACGTCAAGTTATTACCAATAAAATGGCGCAAACAATATCCCCTTATAATATAAACCGTTGGATAGTAAAATAAACATAATTATTTTCACAGTTTTAGACGCTTTATTATAATTAGTTACTAATTTACATGATGTGCTTGTTGAAGTGTCCCTAAAATTAGCATAATGTGACATTAATCAGCTTAAGCCAAGTTGTTAGCATATTTAATAAGCTTAGCCTTTTTTTTACAATGTTTATGAGGGGTGTATATTAAGAATTTTAACCCTACTTGACCTATTTGAGGCTTTTAATAAATCTTTCATGCCAAAATTAAGCATGGGCTGTAATTTACAGTTATATTTGAGTTTTGGTATACTGTTTTCGAAAGAGATTGGGAGTTTATATGAATTATTTCTGACAAATCGATTTGAAATTATCTGAAGAAAAATACTATATCTATATTCTGGCAAGTACCAATGTAATTTTTCCGAGTCATATGTACTGTCTTAGAGTATGTAGACACCACTAACAGACGGTGAAGAAAAAAATATTGTCAGGAAACCTGGACTTAAAATTTCACAATTATAAGTTTGAAATCACCAACACGCCTTGAGCAAGCGTCGTGTTTAATGCTCAAACCTTCTCTATGTGAGAAGAGGCCTTTGCTCTGCAGTGAGCTCTAATAGGCCGATGATGATATCTACATACATTTTTGTGTTTAAATCCACTATATTTTAATTTTAAACCCTCTTCATGAAACACTTAGACGTTAATACGATAAATCATTTTTTTTTACATTTTCTATATTATAAAAAATACAATGTAGGTATATAAATGCACCTGACATATACTCTGTTTAAATTCAAAATTACAGGTCGCACATTTATTATGCCATATTTGTTGAAGCGAATTTATCTTAATGGCAAGTGTCTTTATAAATTACAATATGACTATATATCATATATTCGATTACAATTATATTACTATATAAGATTAAACAAACAACATCAAGGAAATTTGTAAAATGAAACCCTTTTATGAGTGTCGTCATCTCTCATTCTGTCAACTCAATTAATGTTTAAGCTAAAATATAAAATATCAATATTTTAATATATATATTTTGTTCGTTTAAATTAAGTGGTATGACAGGAATATTAAACCAATAAGATTTATTAATTTAGGTTCTTTTAAAAAAAATACACTAATTTTATCCAGCAACGTTGTTTGTGCAAAATTTCTCTTTTGTACATTTCAAAACTATAGTAGATATTATTAAGCAATTTAAATTATACGATAATTTAGCATATCCAACGCCACCATTTATAAAGATTTTTCAGTGTATTAAAATCATTATTTAATAAATTTAACGACACATTCTCTGTTATTGTGTTATCTTGTAATTAAAACTGACTTATACAAAACTTCACCGAAGTTGACGATATCAGATCTCTTTGACGATATTCATTTAAGTTTCGTTAGAATATTTAGTTAGAATAAAGTATTAAAAAAACAAACAAAATAAACGCATTAGAATCCATCAAAATTTTCGAGATGGTTCGGAACACACATATCTACACACGAACAGAACATATAATATATAACTTGTAGTATATTCCCTCCCAGAATTGTTTATCCAGTTCCCAGGGTATGTAATAAGCCGTCGTAGATAAAGCCACGTTTTACATAAAATTGTCTTTTAAACAAGGATACGCGTCGCATCGCAATGGTAATAAAACTACCGACTAAATATATAGCTATCCCGCATTTTCACGCTCGTAAACCCCATCACTAGAAAAGGACGGAGTTTATGGCTTTCGCTACAAAAACTTTTATTGCACCACTCGTAAATTATATAGTCTTAGCTTTGAGGAAAACTCCGATACACTTTTAGGAATTAAATTTCTTTTTGAGACACGTTTTCTTTGAAAAATATTCACATAATAATGAATATAGCTTTAAATTAGTTCATGGCTGACAAACAATGCTATATAAAAATACTTTGAAATACATATAGGTAATTAAATAAATAATTTCTATAAAAATACATACATAATTTTGTATAGATGTGTGTGTGTATACTGTTGGTTCAAACAAAGTTTTTTATTGATAATATGAGGTGAAGTTATAAAATTAAACACACAGACATTCATAAAATATTGTTAATTCATTGACCTACCACAAGCAAGGACCCATTTTAAAATGGAACTCGGCTACGAGACGAGACGATCGTAAAATTCACCCTTTAGTGACGAAGGTTTCGCTTGGACTCGATAAAAATATATCGATAGATTATACACAGCACCTTCACTATTGATCTCCTACTATAATTCTACTTAGTAAGAGTGCTGTGACCGCAAATTCCTCCTTTCTTTTTAAACATAAATATAAAAAATAAGTTTTTTTTACATATTAATTTCTTTAAAAACATGGTATATATTTAAGAAGATTTACGTGATTTAGGCATAAATCATATAACAATCCATTTAAAATATTATACGGCTAAGAATATTTAAAGTAATAAAACGCGAAATAAAACATCGAAACAGCATTACCTACCTGGACAACACTATTTATTTGATGCGTCTACTGATCGTAAAACTTTTCGCGCGTAAACGTCACTATTGACGTAAGCCAGCAGCTGCCGCGCTGCATTACAATCCTTTGTGTTGTTACCGTCTAATAACAGCAAATTTATTTTCCAGCATTTTACGCTTAAAAGGCTTAAGTAATCCATCGATTGCGGATTTCTCTTTATTTGTAAGAGCATTGTTTCTGCTAATAACAAGTAAGACCTTCGGATTATTGAGTTGAAATTAGGTGAAGAAAAATAAAAGAATATCACCTAATTAGTCGAAATAATACTTAATTATAACGAATTGATCATTATACTACATAGTTTACATTTTCTACGCGTTTTAAAATAGTTATAGTTT